ATCTTGCTTACCAAGATCTTATTGGCCGAAGAAGACCTTGTTTACAAACTTTTTTTGTTTATAGTTCACCAGCATTCTTCTACTATCTTGTTAAATCTTAACAGGGTGTAACTGAATTCCATCTTGACATCACTAAATAACTTCTTCCATATAACCTGGGCAATTCTCAAGGTCAGCTTTCAGGTGGATATATTACTAAATGTTTCATCACTTTATCACTTACACAGTTTCGTCTATTTGTTATCTGCACTAAACAGTTGAATACTTCGTTTGTATGTGGTCCACATAAACTGGAAGATTTACAGGCGAAAACCAACAAGTTGGAATAAGAAATAGGGGGTGAAGACAGGACATCAAGTGAAAATAGAGAATATGACTAATTAACAACGACATAAATTACTGGTCACTACCGACAGAAGAAGTTTGACAGAGGTTACTTCCTTCGATTATTCACGAGGCACCTTTTCAACCACAAGCTGTAACACAGATGGAGATGTCAAAATCACAATCGGAAAGGCTAGGGTAGACATTTATCGATCTGAAATCGGTGAGAAAATTTGCTTCATTTAGCATGAAGAAGAGGATTCAACGTTAATTCTTTGCCACTCACTTCTTTACACGTCAGAAACTTGGCGAGGGCCTCACAAAAATCGTTTTTAATAGGTTACTGCAAACTTTCATCAACAGGCGCCTTCGATGGTTCCACACTGAAGATTAGATGGCGGAAAAGACTTAACAACGAGAAGCTGTAGGGACGAAGCAGTCAGGAACCTACTGCTCAAAAAGTATACTGGATAAAATAGAGATGGATCGACACATTGTGAGGAGACCACGGAGTGATATAGTGATCAACACCCTCGAGTGTAACCCGAGTGGGAAACGATGAGTTTGACAGAGATCTGAAGGTGACATGGAGGAAGTCGTGTAAAGAGGTGGAAAGAGACTATGGGCAGCCATGGAGCCGATTAGAGCGATTAAAGGACAACAGAAAAACGTGGGGATGTGCTGTTGAATCCCTACATCCCAAACGCAACCCAGTGAAATAATAATTATAACAAAAATTGTATGAGATCGGATAAATCATTCCCAATTTTCGGTGAATTCTTTCATATCTTCACAAGCCGGAAAGGTTTTGATAATAATTTTCTGACTTTATTTGTTCAAAATGTCTCTGATATTAAGTGTGTACATGCGCGTGCGCGGGCGCCTTTTCGTTTATTATTTAAGAATAAAGCCTATGAAGGTTTGACCAGAAAAGACGAAAAACAATCACAGCGGCGGTATTCTGTCGCCAGTTATTCAACTAATCGTTTTATTGCCGCTAAAATGAAAAGTCGTTTTGCTAAACAGTCATTGAAGTGACAATAAAATGAGTTATCTGGCAGTGAGGTTGTTTAATGGCCTATATGACATAATGCCGTGGAAAACTATAAGACAGTCTTACAATGATAATCCGATTTGCAAGTAATTTTTTGTAATATGCTCCTTTTCTGTTTATTTCAATGCCTTCTATATTCTTTATTGAATTGAATTTTTGATTTTCCCGTCGATTGATCGGACCGAAGTGCTCGGTCTCAGGTTGACATGTCGGCTTCTTGTGCAGATGCTTCGACGATGTCTGGGGATTTAATTTGTATACAATTGGTGGATGGTGGCTAGCAGTGGAATCCAGGATAAAGCGCATTTCGTCCTATTTGGGACTCGTCAGCTGGATGTACCTGCATTTCGCAGTAAGTGATGTTGTTCCCACCGAGGCTCAAACCCAGTGTCCATAGTTTCAAACGCCAAAGCGTTATCCACTAGACCACTTGAGACCGAGCACTTCGGTCCAATCAATCGACGCGAAAATCAAAAATTCAATTCAATAATTAATATGACCCGTTGCACAAGAGGTGGCTCTCGTGGCCCAAGTGGTCTAGTGGATAACGCTTTGGCGTTTGAAACTATGGGCACTGGGTTCGAGCCTCGGTAGGAACATCATCACTTACTGAGAAATACAGGTACATCCAGCTGACTACGAGTCCCAAATAGGACGAAATGCGCTTTATCCTGGATTCCACTGCTAGTCACCATCCACCAATTTCCTTCTATATTCCTTCAGAATGTTCATGGTTTCACCTAATTTTCATTCAGTTCGCCACTTTATTGTTCAGAAATTTCGCAGACATTACCAGCAATATACTACTTTTAAACTCTTGTTAGTAGCATACAGCAAATTATCAATTTTTTAAAAGGTCTATAAGCGAACAAAAGACTAAATTACTAAGTCTGCACAACAGTATAGACGTGAAAGATATCAGGCTGGCTTGTTTCACACCTGTAGACCTAAAAAATGCTATATGATACTGATCGAATGATATGATTAGACGGATTCCTGTCATGTCAACCGGTAGCGTTCGCTAGCTAGATAAAAGTGACCTAAACACATGATGGCCATTCGCCTAATTTCCAATTAGGCTCATTGATCAAGCGAAGCGCTTGAAATCACTTTGGAGAGATGAACTAGTTCGAACTGGCTAGTTCGAATTCTGGCTAGCTACTCTGATGAACCGGTAATATATTGGAAGTGAAATAATCTGTTCTTAATATGCCAATATTGTTTTGAAAACTCCATTAGCTTCTTTGATTGAACACTAATTAACTGGTGTTATATGTAGAGTTCTTTCTTCGGTGTAGACGGAATTCTATCAGTCAAGTTTGCAATGTGGCTGGACATTATGGTGCAGAATAAATTGTTGATACTAAATGGTTGCAAGCAATCGGCAGGAAGACCAGATTGATCTAGGTTTCGTGCTTGTTGACACTCGTCAGCAAGGCATCTCTGAAACCACACTGCAAGAGCCTATGTCCATTCTGAGATTCGAACCGGCGTCAATCGGTGGTACAGTCAGAGAAGTTACTACTGAGCTATTTGGGCCTGCGTCTGACCTCCTCTAGGACTGTACTGGATACTTATATTGGATACCAGTTAACTGGTGTCATGAGTCTAGTTCTATGTTTTTGGGCAGACTGAATTTTACCAGTAAAGTCAAGTCAAAGTATCTAATACAGCCCCATAGGAGGTCACTGACAAGCTAGAATAACTCAGTGGTAACATTTCTGACTACAGCAACATAGAACGCTGGTTTGAATCTCCAAATGGACATGGGTACTTTCAAGGTTGCAGAGATGCCTTGCTGAATAGCGAGTGACGACTAGCCCGAAACCTATATCATCTAGGATTCCTGCAGATTATCAATACTCCATTAGTTTACTGTGCGCCTATTAGTAACTGTTATATATACATTTTTGTAAAGAAATACGGAGTGAGGCTAATATGAATGTTCTTTTAATCAGATAAAATTAAATGTACATTGAAAGTGTATGTGAGACATTTTGAAAGCACTTCCTATCACATTAAAAGTAAAGAACTTGGTATATATTTATCTAATTGGATACTTCGGTATTCTATTTACATAAATTCAAGTTTTTTAAGCCAGTGTTCTTTTAAAAGGAATTCTCTGACAACCAAAACACTGAACATCAAAAGAAGATAAAACCAACATCATCTACAAGATAAATTGCAACGACTGTAAAAAACGCTACATTGGCCAAAGTGGACGTTCTTCTTCTCGTCTTCGTATCCATGATCATAAACTAGGCGTCTACAGACATGACATCCACTCCCTCACGCATATCGCTGCATACAGACAACCACGGATATCAATTCGACTGGGACAACGTTCAAATATTATACAGAGGAAACAACAAGAATGCTAGAGCATTTTTAGAAGCCCGCCTGCTATTTTAGTGAATCGTCAATCAATAGACAAATTGACATTGAAAAAATTTACCAATCAATAAGGAACAAATCTCACACAAAGAGTCAAAGTTCAAGTCAAAGAAACAATCAGTTCCAATACAAGTTACCTAAAGTGTGTGAGAGCACACAAAAACAACTGATCCCGCTCATGGTCATTAGGAAAGGCGACTAATAAAAAAGTTCACTTCAACATATTGAGTATGCGCTGGAGATGTTGCCTAGTAGGGTGAAATGAAAGTTTAGCCATTAAACCATCTAGCTAAGTGAACACAACGACATCAAAGTCTATATATATTATCGCTGCCTGAAATTGTAGTTGTACCGGTTTGCTTAATAATGTAACGTACGCGACAGCAAAGATATGGCTCGAATCATGTGTTTGTAAACAATATGAGATTTTGCAGCGAATTCATCATGGTTTAAATATTCGGTTTTCAAACACTGAGTTCCAAGTTTCAATGTCAGTATACTAAACAAGGTTACAGCGGCCAGGTAGTATTATAAGGCTTGATACAACAAGTGTATCAGACTAACAGCGCGTAAACGCTAGCGACTTCTAAGTAGCTAGTTATTTATAAATACAGTATGATAACTAAACCATATAGGACAATACAACTGTGAACCGTGATACACTTCCTTCCTGTATTAGATGTTAAAAGTCAGTAGATGAATAACTCTGTTTTTTAATTTCATTCCTATGATTAATGGCACTGTTTTCAGCAAGGTTCCCTCAGGATTTCAGATACATCTTCGTGAAAACTGTTTACAATGTCAAAACTTACCTGATTCTTTCAACAACTACTCCCCTGTATTATTAATATATTATATTACTGCTCCTTAGGGTTCATAGTGGAACATAGGGCTTCAGCGGCACTCCTCTACTTTTTCCTACTTTCCGTATCCCTTTTCAGTTGGCGTCACAATTGCCTATAGGCTGTCATCTCCTCCTGCACACGATACCCTCCATGTCACCCTCAGATTCGTACCCAACTTTCTGTTTCCTATTAGGGTTCCACAATAGGTGTAGTCTGTCGTGCGATATGATGATATGAAGTTCTCCCCCGCCCCCCCCGTCTTTTCTTATTTTATTCCAAATGTTAAAAAGGAAATTCATCGTAGACTGGAGAAAATGTATGGAAATGTGTGAACAAAACTAAATCATTCATGAAGGTAAATATGCGCATGTATAAATGTTTACCTGTTGAACTTTTTGCTCTTCTAGTTTTTCCATTATATCTGCCGATAGGATCCCATTCACGATCACCAAAATTTCCTCTTCCAGAAATCGGATCACGTTGTGCTGTACATAGAAATAAAAATACGGTATAAAGAAATAAAAGGGGTGAATGATTTGGAAAATTCTGGGAATATATCCCTTAAAATGAATCCATTAAATACAAAATGACAAGATAGATATTGCACATACGTACGACCTAGTAGGCGTTGCTTAACGCGGAAGATTAATATTTAGAAATCCCAAATGACTGGTCTGAAGTCGTGAGAATATTTTTTTGATCAAATGTTCAAGAGTAGGGTTTTCCTGTGTTAGTAGGTTTCATCCAATCAGGTTGTATTCCCTGCATTTGTTAGCTACAGACATGACTTTTAAACCCCGAAGTTAACGAAGAATACAGTTAACTGGCAGAACCTGATTATAAGCCCTACATCACGTCAGAATCACAAAACAAAGAATGATCTGTAACTGAAGCCATAATTACATCAGATTTTCAAGCTGATTAGTCAGTTAAATGTAACGGGACCCATGTTTTAAAGTCCAATGACGTCTACCAGCTACAACCAGCCGCTTTCGCAATACCAGGAAGGCAAAACAGTAAGACCAGATTGATAATATCAATATAACTTAGCTGGAGAGTCGAAAATTCCTCTCTCATTTAACATATAAGGACATATGTGTATTTCTGAAATGAAATTTAGGACCACAATTGAAGTATTGGTCACTTGACATTTCATCCTTTGAGTTCGGTTTTGATGGTCCAAACTGATGAAATAATGCAAAAGCCTGGATTCAGTCTCATCTAAATAGTATGTTCTCCTTGTGTCAAAATTTCCCGAAGAGTCCGTTTTTTCATACATTCCTTAATGATTATTAATTTCTCCTAGAACCTCTGCTACTTAATAATAATAACAACCTTACTCTGAGTGCTTCAATACATGTTGGAGAGTTCGCAGCATATTCTATGTCAAAGTATTTACTCAGGATGTGGTGTCTTCAAGTAAGTTATCAATCAGCAATATATTGTATGTGACAATATTGTTCAACCTAGAACATGCTCTAATAATCTGCTATGCTATTCTCTCCACCTTCTTTGAATACTCCGAATCTATAAGTTTAATCCTATTTTAATCTAGGTGCCACTACAAATTGCGACCCACAGATGTAATTGAATAATTAGAGCGAATTGAAGAGTATACAAAAAGGATCACTTTTACAGATGGAAAATTATGTAGCTCAACAGTTTAAGCAGACCGCCAAGTACTTGCTCATCAGTTTTTTTTATTACTTATGAATAAACACTTCCTATCACATACTACTTATATCCATTCTTATAAGTACTATATACGTTGATAAACAATATTCATTTCTCCTTACCATCAAACAGATTAACCAATAAAAGTCATGTTTTCATTGAGTGATTCCTCTTTCAAGCTTAATTACTAATGCATAGTAATACGGATAATATTACAACAATTCTATTGATTTTACGTAAAGGTAGCGAAGACGAAGTTGATGAAGATAACTTAGAACGTCCATCCTATAAGGAATTCTTGACAGGCCTCAGACATTTAACAACGGCTAACTTCACTCCAAATTGAAGATCAGATGGACAGAAAGAATTAGTAACAGTAAATTTGGTCTTGGAGAGAACAAATCAAGAACCTATTACTCAAAAAATATGCAAAAGAAAATGGAGATAGATTGGACACACACTCGGGAGACCGTAGGATGACATCGCGCACCAGGCATACCCTCGAGTGGAACTCGAGTGGAAAACGATGCTTCAGGCGTCTGAGGGAGCCGTGAAGGAGAAAAGAGCCTATGGGCAATCCTAAGACCAGATGAAGACAACTACAGGGAAGAAGATAAAGTGGAGATATGCTGTTGAAACTGTATGTTCCACTCGAAACCCAAGGGAACAATAATAATAATATGATCTGTTAGTTGTGTAAATTACTATTGGCATATCTGAATGCGGTCCGAGGACATGTGAGTCCTGGAGTTTTTTCTAAGGAATGGGAAACAGGCATTGCCTAATATCTAAACCAAAATCTATTAGACACCTGTGTAAGCTATATATTCATATTCCTTGATTTGAAGTGGTCAAGACTGCTCAGAACAGATCGAATGTAAAATGAAAGCTAACAGAATAAGAAACCGTGTATTGATTTAACTATCTGCACACTAGAATATCCATCCCATGTTGGGCACTGAGAGATCGCTAGCAGTGAAATCCAGATCTTGCATTTCCCCCCCCCAATTCGGGATTCATCAACTGGATATAACCACGTTCTTAATGACTGAAGGTTTTCCCACTGAGACCTGAAAACAGCAGCTATTCTTTTCAGACTTCATTGTCCTATCCATTAATGAATTAAAGTTCCAATCTGGAAATTAATTGATTACACACCTTCCAATAGAAACCGTAATTATTCAGGTCCTAAGACGTGATTACGTGTGATTGACGGCGATTAAGAAGGCAAGCAAAAATGTATAATGTTATTCACAGCTAACTCACTGATATGTTTACTTGGACAAAACTTAAATCAATTAGTTTTTTGGTTAATTCTATTCCTTTACGGTCCGAGTGGAACAAAGAGTTTCAGAAGAAATGGTTTTCACTTATACGAGGTGGGGTTGCTAGCCTCATGCTCAGCCTTCCCTCTTTACTGGCTTAGCGAGGTTTAGGAGTGCACCCGGACCATGTAAGACTTGAATGATGAACGTCCTATTGCTAAACCACTGATGCAGACTGCATCAAGTAGTGCTTGCTAAGCAGCCTGAAGTTTTCTAAACACTGACTGAGCTTTTTGCTCATTTGAGACCGGGTGCGTCAGCCGTGTACCGGTTTCACCCAGCTGAGAGAGCAGAATTCGATCTACGCTATGTCCAGTTTGCCGAAGCAGTCAGCCCGAATTTTAGCGGTTAGTCTGAACTTATTTAACTGTCTGAGCTGAAAAGAAACGGATGCACAAACTGATAAGCTCAAGTGGTTCCCAACTACTGATATCAGTCAGCCAGTAGTATATAGCACCATCCATGTCCGTTATCGCTTAAGCTATTTGACCAAGGAAGAGCCATTTATCCTCATTTGTTAGCGTTATTTTAAATTTCCCACTGACTAAATTGCACTGGGTCAAAATGATTGATCTCTGTTACGAGAAGACGACACATCAAATCAGACCAAACACTTCTGTCAAATATGCCAATGAATCAAGGGGAAATTCAAGGATATGTCATGCATCTCAAGTTTCTTCTTCGATGGTGTTTTCATTGCCATTTTCACTGCTTCTAGTAAGAAGTTGTTCTATCATACTACTTATATCCGTTTATAAGTAGCATACACCAAAAAACTGACATTTCGTTATTAAACATAATTGAAAATAATCAATCATTTAGATTTGAGATTTATTAAAAATGGTGGAGCAATAATGCATCTAAAAGAGCAAATCCATTATGAGAAATTAATTAACTGTTTGACTTTCAGACACAAGTAGTCTATATATTGTATTTCTTTCGGCGGGAAAAATAATTGGAGAGACTATATGACAGACAAATCGATTTTGGCGTGTTTTAATTTGTAAAACGTTTGGGCTGATATTCGAAAAACATGGCGGTTGGTAAAGCCTAAATCTTTAGTTATTTAGGCGACATATTTGTTTTTATATGCTTATGTTTTAAAAGACAGAAACAAAGGCAAATTTTCCACATTTCATAATTAAATCCCGAGTGAAGTGTAGCCCTTGAGGTTTGAGACCTTACAGTTTCAGTGGCAGCGATATTCTTTTTCGGAGTAGGACAACTTTCTTACACTTTAATGTGTATTTAAAAATTCACTTGGTCCAGTGGAGCTAAGTACATAGACCATACGACCAGGATACTGTCTAGACAAGTCAATGATCACTTACAAGCATGGTTGTAAGAAGGAGAGTGCAGAACTGTCAACAGTTCAATTCTGGAGAAGATTATTACTTCTGATCAATCATCGTCGGTAGAGACTTCTTTCATAGGTGAGTAATAAAGTACGACCAAGTCGTTGGAAATGATTTCACCTGTATCTTCATGTAGGCAAAGACTTTGCAGTCCTTAAGGAGAAGCCTGAACTTTGTGTTCAGAAACGTCTTATACAACATCTTTTACTTTCATGACCCTAGTACTACTTTCTTCCTAGTTTCTTTGCCGTTTGTCTTCTTGAATAACTTTATAATAAGCTCTGTGTCATCCGCTATATGTTTCCGCAATTTGCTTCCAATATTTTGTTCTCTTGTCGTTTATTAACTATTTCAAAACGATTATTCATTACTTAACTAATCAGCTATCACCCCTTTTGATTACGTCGGATTGTCCATAAGTCTTTCAGTCATGGTTACTGCTCATGCGCTTTGATATGCTTTGTTACGAACTGATAATAACTTCTGACCTCTTTTTTCCAGTCAACATTGTATATATTATCATTCTTCCCCTGGGTTCTGAGTGGAACATAAGGTTTCAAAAACACATTTCCACTTTGTTCCACTTTTCGCAGTCTTATTCAGATGAGTCCACGATTGCCCATAATCTCCCATCTCCTCCTCCTCTTCCTCCTCACCACACGATCTCCTCTATGTCTTCCTCGAACCAACGGCCCACTCGTCGCTTACAATTGCATTCCACTCGAACGATGGCCTGCACTGAAAGGGACGCCATCCGACAGCCTCCTCAACGTAAGCCTGATCCATCTCGATTTTTTCCTTCATATTTGTTGGTTTGTCGCAAATTCCTTTTGGCTAGGTGGCCATTCGATTTTTAATGCCAAGCCAGCGATGGCAGCTGCTGATGAAAATCTACTGTAGCCTGTTGGAAGTAGTCTTCTTGACACGCAGTACACGTTTCTGACACATATAAAAGAAGTGACTGACTTAACATTGGTGTTGAAAATCCAAACCTTGTTCTTTATGCTGCTGAATGCAGAAAATTTTCAAACTGCCTTCAGTATGATGGAGGCGTATTCTGCCTTCCTGATTCTCACTTTAAAATCTTCGTCCGTTCTACCTGTAGTTGAAACGATGCTTTCTGGTCAGATA